GGCCAGCTCCTCCGCCAGTTCCCTCAGCACTCTTGGGTGGATCCCATCTGGCCCCATGGACTTGTAAGCATCCAGCTGGTGCAGCAGGTCGTTAACTGCTTCCTCCTAGATTATGGGAGGTTTGTTCTGCTCTCCTTCCCTATCTACCAGCACTGGGGGCTGACTACCCTGGGGATAACTGGGGATAAAAATATATCTTTTGTGACAGTTTTTTAGCAGAGATGTAGATACTTAGGACTGGTATTTTAAGGGAAAATTCTAATATTCTTCTGAATTGGCTCATGTTGCTGGCTAATATTCAGTGTTATGTTGCAGTGGTGTTTCAGTTAGGCATCACATATTCCTCTGGTGCAAGTTCGCTGCATTTACAAAGAATTTATCAAAATTGTATTTCTCTGAACACAACAGGAATAAACAGAAGCAAGGAAGCCTCATGTCTCCAAATCTGTCTTTCCAGCTAGCTCTGCCCAAAACAGAGGACACAAGCAAGCACACGCTTGCATACATATTGCAAGAGATCCTTTATGCTGGTTTTACAGTCTCCTTCATTTTTTTCCCTTGTTTTCTTCTTCTCTTTTCTTTGCTTATAAATGCACATCTGCATTGAAACCAGTGCACAATACTGGAAGAAAGAAGAGTTAGTAGACAGTGTGCACTTTCTTAAGGAGTTCTTCGATTAAATGATGCCTCTAATCTAGGAGTAATTCAGTTCTTCAGTGGGGGAGCATTGTTGGCACTCAGCCTTTACTAAACAGGAGGATTGTTCTAGATTCGAATCTAGATTTGTTCACTTACTAACAATACTTGGTTTACGTCATCTTACAACTTGTGTTTTTCTCTTTTGATCTGTTGTCACTGGGGAGGGAAAAGTTCTTGTCCATTTTTTTCTGTTAAACATGTTTGGAATGTATACTTTTTGTCTTGCAATTTCAGTGAATTTCATAACAGCAGTCTAAACCTTTTAATTTTAAGTCTTCGGAATGGGGAGTGTATGTGTATTTTGGGCTTTTTTTTTTTTTGCTGCTGCTATTTGCACAATCACTTTATTTCCAGACTTTGTATGGTCATTGGCCTTTTTTTAGGTCTCTGAACTTCAGTCCAAGTAGCTAACCCAGGAGGCTAATACCTGTCCAAGGGCTTTGACAGGAAAGCAAATTTTAGGATTCCTGCATGGGATGACTTTTCAGACCAAAGTAAAGTGGAGTGCTCATATTTGGACCACTTTGCCTTAATCAAGTCTTTTATATTCAATTCCTTCAGGTCAAGACAGACCAAGGCAGTTCCAAGCTTGTTTTTAGTCACTGTAGTCTCTGAAGCCTAAACATGAAAGATTAAGTTGGTATGCTTTTGTTTCATGTCTGGTACAGACAGCAGCTTCTTGGCTGCATCTTCAGCAAGCCTTCTGTCAAGAGATGAAGAGCAGAAATTGGAAGAAAGACACAAAGAGGACAAATTAATACATGGTGAGACTAAAAAAAAGAATGGGACCAGTTTCTTTTCTGCTCCCTCACCTCCTGAAGTGGCATCCACACCCTCCAATAGGTAGGCATTTCATGGACTGCATATTCACTTTGAAAAATGAAGAGCCATGGTGGCAATCACCAGCAAATCTGTTTTTTCACCTCTGTGATATCTGTAGGAAGGTGTTACAAGAGCCTTCTGTGCTTTGCTCTCTAGATTCTGAGCATTATTTGCAAGACAGGTTGAGTCTACCTTAGATTTTTGTTTAGATCTATATGACCTACATTTGTAAAGTTAGAGGAGTTCCATCTCTAAAGGGGACAAAATTGTTATTCCTTCCGGTGCGTGGTGTAACTGTGAGGTCATCCGTTAAAACAGGATGCCTTGTTACCTGAGCCCAGACATTTTTATTGTACCTTTCTAAGTGTTTTTTCTGTTACAAGGTTAGAAATTCTGCACAGGTACCTATGTGATGCACATGGTTTATCTCAATTCAAATTTTAAGCCTTTGACATTAGCAATTCTAACTCTCAGAAAATATTTTCTGCCCGTTTTAATATATGGACTATTACAGCACAATTCTTGTTGCTTTTTAGACAAACTGATAGTCTCATTGTTTCCTTGTGCTCTCCTGGGCTTGTCTATCATATCATACTTGGATTGTAAGTGCTCTGCTGCACGGTTGGTTTTTCTACTCTGCATTTTTACTAATAGAAGTGTTTGTAAAATACATTGTGCTATGGCCTTCAGTGAACCATGGTTAAATTGATGGATGGGGACATCCATTTTCCGTTGGACAGAGAGCAGATCTTCTGTTCTCAGGGCTGGAAGTATCCTGCCACGTGTATTGGCTTTTTGTTGTGGTAAATGATCTATGATACATATCTAGAAATTCAGCAAAAGAAAGAAGTAATCTGCAGGGAAAG